GCCACCTACTACAGAGAGAGTGTCACTGACTACACTCCCTAGAAACAGCACTGGCTCTTTGTCTCTTGCACAGTCGATCACAAGCAGTGCTAATCGTGAGCTTCTTTATGGTCGTTGTCGTCTGCCTTCTCTCTGTTGTTTTTCATATTTGTTGGAGAAGACCATAGAAAATCTGGTGGTATTCCAAATAACATACCAGTAAAGAGAATGAGTAAGCCATAGAAAATTTGGAGTAGGCCATATGTCCTGTAGACACCCCATTTTTTACCATCCACAAGACTTTGGGGCTTGGCCCGGCGCACTCGATGATGAAAAGTGTATTATGTATGATGAATTCTCAACGAAGGGAGCCTAAGTCCGAGCTCTTGAACCAATCCCAAACCTTACATATTTACACTATTTGTACCCCAGAATTTCATTTTTGAGCATTTTATTAACCTACACTGGGTGTAAAACAGAGGAACAGGGGAAAACATTAGAGGCCGGTCGGCCCACAATGGGAGCCGGCCGTAGCCACTGGGAGCCAGACGACTCTCTTTGGTGAGAAACACTATTCTGGGTAGGAATGGGCCAGCTGTCCTTTTTTGAAGATATTTATGATTTTTTTGGCCTAAATTTTATAAATATGAGCTCTTGGCTCTGTTTTGAGGGTTGAAAAATTTCCAAGAGCCTATATACACAAGAGAGAGCTCCTTCTTCCTACACAAGCCATCTTTGAGCAAACCTATCTCTCTTCACCTATATCTATACATCATTTACCACCTTAGTTCATAACCTTAGAACCTTGGCTAAGTTTTGTGAATCACAATTCAAGCTTGAGAGTGTGCTTGAACAAAGTTTGTGTTACAAACAAGAGCTTACCTTCTTTGAGAAGTATAAGCTTACTACTTCTTCTCTTACTCTCTTTGCTGTCTCTTACTATCTATTTCTTGTGTTTTTATATTGTCTTGAGCCTATTTCAAGTGTCCAAGCTTGGGTTTGGATAGCTACCAAAGGGTAGAAAAAGTTAACACTCATTCTTGCACCTTTACCTATAGCTCAAACCCTTGTTTTACACCCTTTTCTTTGCTTTCCAAATTGATTTTCAAAGTTTAAAAAAGGAGAAAAATCATGCTTTGAGGTTTCAAAAGTGGAGGGGTTAGCCACCCCTCCTTGTTCTTGCCTACTAGCCTTATTTTCTCTGCTTTTTGTTTAGCTTTTTAGGCTCTTTTCATGCACTTTGAGCCACTATTTTTTACCTATTAGAGGCTGTTTTAGGGCTTTCCTAGGCTATTTAATTGGTTCAAGCTTTGATTAGCTTGTTTGTTATATCATAAGTTCTCATATATAGCTTGTTGTATGTTGTTCTTAACTTTTCTTTAATTGATTTCCATGTCAAGAGTCTCATTTTAATAAGCAACCTACCATCCATTTCTTTTGTTTGAGAGTTGTTTTAACCGGTTGATGGTTATTCAAAACATAAGCTAGAGATCTATGCTTAATGGCTTAATCGCTATAGAGGTTCATTGTCAACGGCATGGTCTCTCTTTCATGTTGAGAATCACTTCCCGTTTGACATGCTTCTCATTTAGTGGATGTAATCATCACCTTGGAAAAGTTGATTAAAGAATGGCAAAGACTAATGAATTTGACTTAAAACGAACCAACCAACATAAAGAAAATAAGTTATGTTGCTTGGGTTCGATTGGACGTTATGTCGAGTCCATCGTGTCAAGGGTCTTCATACGTCAACTCATAATGTTTTGATGAACCTTGAAGCGTCTCTATCTCCCTCTTTGAGCTCACTCCATGATAGGATGAAGGGATGGTTATTATTCATTGCATTCATTGATTTTTGTCCAAAATCACATTCGAAATCATCAAGCAACCAACTTGCTCATTGATGGTTTTGGAAACGACTTCGTTCTTCTTTTGAGGTTTTCTATGACAGAGAAGAGCAGAATGGACAAACAGGACCTAGAAAGGCTCTGTCTATTCTTACCTTAGAGCACAAAAACAATTTTGGCACAAAATTAGGGGCCAGTTGACAGTATTTGGACCCGGCCAGATTTCATTAGGAGCCGACCGGCTCCCAATGTATGGTAAACAGTGAGTTGTTGGCAGAATCAGGGGGCAGTGACTAGAAGTGAAACAGAGCAAGTCTGGGCAAACAGAGCAGTTTCTAGGCACTGCACATGCGAGCATTATGCATCCTTGCTATTGTTTGATGTTCATTATAATTATTATTGCTGTAATTAGTCTTGTTGTAATTATTATTATTGTTTATTTGTAATTATCATAGCTAGTTCACTTAGATAGCTAGTTCATTGCTCATTATTATCCTTGTTGTAATAAGGTAGATATCTAGTTAGTTCTTTAATTCATTCGTTTCAAATTTGTAATAGTTAGTTTATTTGGACACTCGGACACTCATTCGGACCCTCTTACATGCGGGCAAAATATGTAATAATGTGTATGTCTTCTAACACCACGTCTTTCTCCATTTTATTTCATTGCTTATGATGGATAGAATAGAACATCATGTTTCTTTTAGCATTTTCCATAATTTACATCCACTCGTCTTGGATGCATAAAAACTCGACTCATCATTCTAACCAAACATTGTTATTGCTTAAATTCTTTGAATACGTGCTTAGACTACATGCTATAAAATTGATTCAAATACCATGTTAGTAGCCAAGCCCATTAATTGCATAAATTGTATGTGTTGCATTAGTCGTATTGCATTAGTTAGGATCATGCATTTTTCCTAACTATTTTTTCCTTTTTGGCTTGCCTTGGAATACTAGGTGAGCACTTATCGCTTTAGCATATCACATAAGTGTGATTGTTGTCATGCCAAGCATAATACCCTGAGGCTAATTGCTTAAGTGATATAACTCTTTGAATGCCTGTGGATGAAGGCTAAATGCGCAAATTGGGATAAATTGATTAATGTACATACAAACTCACATTTTCAAGTGACGCGTATTCAAACTAGTTTTCAAATAAACATGAAATCAAAATGTTCCAACTTTTTCAAATTAGTCTATACTTGTGTGCAACACATAGTAAAGTTAGCCTAATAATCGAAATAAGAGCATATAATGTAAATAAGAATCACATCATGATTAGTAAAGTCTGATCTTTAATCAGGTGAGTGGGGTGCTCAATTCATGACCTTCCCCTCTTGTACCTAAGTTCCCGAGCCGAGACACTTTGGTGATGACAGACACGTGGCCTTTGGCACGAGTCATGAGTTTTCTAAATTTTTCAAAAATATTTAGGTGGCGACTCTGAAATCTGGCAAAGCAGTCCATTTTTGATATTTTTTAGTCAAAATCAATTTTCTAAAAGAATTGTCGGATATGGACTCTTTTTGTATTTTCACTGTTTCACATTGTACTTATGAAATCAAATTCAGAACCATGGGAGTCCAAATTGTAGAGTTGACCGTATTCGAAAAGAGCAAGAAAAGTCAAGCTACATGTCCTTTCCTTGTTTTTGAGTCAACATTGTCTTCGATTTCCTCTAAATTATGTGTCTAGTTTCAAGCAGATCTAAAGATTTCAGTTTGTGTTCAATCTTTCTCTCTCTTCTCTCTCACTGAAAGATACCCAAAAACCTTCTCCTCTGTCGCTCATTCATAAGGTAATATTAATTTATTTCTTGTTTTATTTTTCAATTTACTCTGTTATTGCAAGCTTAGATCTTTCATTCCCACTATTGATTGATATGTATATTGATGTGAATATCACTGGATGGTGCTTTCATAGTCATATATATATATATATATAATAAATAAAAAGTGGCTTGTTATGATTTCTTGGCACTATCTCTACACATGTGCACCGAAAGGCTAAAGTTAAATTTATTTAATATTCTTTGAAAAGTTAAAGTTGATTCATATAATTTGGTCATTGAAGATGGAATTGTCATATAGATTTCATACCATATTTTATGTATTTAGGAGCCTAATTTATGGGTTTTAATTGATTTTGATTTCTAATTTAGCTTCTTGATTTTTAATGAATAATTCTATGCACACTAACAATCTTACTAAAATTATAAATGGTCACATGTGATTGGATGTCAAAAAAATAATAATATTTAAACCACCAATAATATTTGAACATTGATATTTTTAGTAGGATTGTTAGTAAGATTTAAAGTAGATGTACCATTGCTCGTTTTTAATTACTTGTTTGGTAAAAGTGTAGGAATTGGTATACAGTTTGAAAATGGTCAATATATATAGACAGATTTATATATATAGATTTCAGATAAATTTATATATATATATAGACAGATTTCAGATATATATATATATATATATATTTATATACATTGCATATATATATAGACAGATTTCAGACATTCATCTATATATATATACAGAGACCGAGAGAGAGAGAGCATACGCAAAGCGAGAGAGAGTCGTCGCCGGAGCACCACTACTTGTCGCCGTCGCCGCCGCACCACCGCTGGCTTGCTCGCCGCACCACTGCTGTCTTGCTCGTAGCCCGTTTGGGAAATTTGGGGGTGAAGTTAGGGATTTGGGGAGGAAGGATCGAGCGGCAATAGGAAAAAGAAGAGGGGGGATTTTTTTTTTTTGACTTTTTGCGACGGTATGCTGTAGACCGTCGCAAATAGAAGGCAGTAGGTCGTAAAACGGCGCCGTTTGAATTAATCCTTTTTTGCGACGGCAAATTTCCGTCGCAAATGATATATGCCATCTCAAAAAAAAGGTGTTTTGCGACAGTTTTATTTACCGTCGCTAATACTTCCGCATTTCCGACCCCTCCGCTTAGTTTCATTACCGATGGGTAAGTGCCGTCGCTAAAGGCTATTATTTGCGACAGGTGAAGTTACCGTCGCAAAAAACCGTTTTTTGCGACGGGGGGCGCGGCGTCGCTAAAAGCTCCGTGTTTTTGCTATGTTTTCCTGTAGTGCAAGGAGTTCAAAGTGGAAAATTATGAAGCATGTTAAAATAACAATATCTTAAACCTTTAATTAGATATATGATTGGGCATATGACCCTTCCTAAAGATTCTTCTTGGACAATTAGGAAATTATTCAAATTGAGAGTCTTGGCTCAACCTTTAATCAAATATGTGATTCGGGATAGAGGTGAGACCTTTTTATGGTTGGATAAATGGCATCCAATCGGTCATTCATATAAAATCTATGGTGAAAGAGTGGTTAGGGATTTAGGAAGCTCCCTTCTTGCTAAGGTTTCTTCCATCATCAGGAATGGTCACTGGAGATGGCCTAGGCTTAAAAATAGGTCTATTCATCATATTATTGAGAACACCCATGCTGATTTCTTTCCTAGTCCTGAGCATGGTGATTCTGTGTTGTGGTGTCCTACTGCTAATAGAAAATTCCTTGTTAGGTTTGCTTGGAATGCTATCAGAGTGCCTCATGCTTGTGTTTCTTGGTGGTAGGGGGTCTGGTTTAGCTACAACTCATTTTGTGGCTTTGCTGTTGGAAAAGATTAGCTACTAAGGATAGACTTCAAAGATGGGGAATGGAGGTTCCTTTGCTTTGTGTTCTTTGTAATCTGTCACATGAATCTCATGTTCATCTCTTTTTTTAATGCCCTTATTTTGGTTGGATTTGGAGGCAAGTGTTGAGGAAATTTCAGGTTTCTAGAGTGCCCATGAGTTGGTTTGCTGAATTGGAATAGTGCACTTTAAATTTGAGAGAAAAGAGCTTCCAGGTTTATATGTTTAAGCTTGCCCTTTCTGTTGCAATTTATCATATTTGGCTTGAAAGGAATGCTAGGATTTTTAGCAATAAAGCTTCTAATGCTTGTGTTGTTTTTCATTCTATGGTAACAAATGTGAGGGATAGAAGTTGTTCATGGACTCGGATGGGTAGTTCTCCCTCTAATAGGGATGTTTGTCAAATCTTAAACCTTCTCTCATCTCTATATCAAGGAACAAATATTATCAATTCATCTTCCATATAAACAGCATGTAGTTTTAATGTTATATTGAGTGAAGTGCCTTCTGAAGCGATTGGACTTTCGATTAAGATATTAGTGAAGGCAATGCAATCCCCTGTTGGTGACATTACGTCAATGATAGCTGCAATTGTTGATGCTATTGTGCTGCCACTATTACGGCTGCTGCTACTGTGGTCTTTACTCTATTTTTCCAAACTAACCACCTAAAGAATTGGACTTTGGATGGGATGTACTTGACCCAACCAACCTACTTGTGTTCAGGATAAGATCTACACTACCAACACACAATTTGTAAATGGAAGAAACTGAAAACATCCCAGAAGAAGTAATCATTCATCTTCCTAATTTTATTCAATCGCAAAATAAATGGAACATAAAGTATCTTGTAGTTTGAATAAACAAATACGAGGACCTCACTGTAACTTAAATACACTTGTAGCAACAAACGACGCTTGGTTAGTACTCAAGGTTAGAACATTAGAAGCAACTATATGAAATTTATATTGAGTTGAAGAGTGAAAACATGTCGTTTGGCACTAAATTCATGAAATAGCTAATTTATATTGAGTCGAAGACTGAAAATAGGGCATAAGTCTCTTTTGACCATGCCTGGAATTTGTGGTTTAGATATGCTATGTTCTGTTTACTCGTATTGCTTTCTTAGTGGATTTATGTGTCTCATGTGCTTGAAACCAGTGCTAGATTCATGAAATAGCTTAATTTATGAACTTTTCATATGAATGACCAGTGCTAAATTTCAGAGACTATTCCAGTGACCTAAGGAGACATGTTACCTTGCTTTTTGACATAGGTTGTTTTTTGATTTGAAAAACTTGATACCCCAACCTTTACTCATCATTAGAGTTTAGCTGAAGCTGCAATCTGAAGTCATCAAATTAGCACTCCTAGATAGTCCTTTGAACTTTTTATTTATTTACAGTTACCACCATTGAGGCCTAAAATGAAAATTTCAATTAGAGGCTATTCTTATTTTTAAAATGGCATCTATTAATTTTATATATATTATAAATTGTTGTGTAAAATTCATTTTACTTCTTGATTCTTGTAGTTATAATTAAAGAGGTCTATTAACAGGTTTTTGGGCCTTTAGATAATGATTTGTTTGAAGATGAGCAAAGAAAATACTTGTTTAGTATCATCCATCATCATTCATATATATTAATGAGGAAATATCATTTTATCCCCCAAACTTTCACGAGTTTTTTCAATTTGAGCCCCAAACTTCAATTAATATCAGTTTTCTACCTAAACTTTCAAAATTTTGATCAATTTGATCCCTATCGTCACATTCCGTCTACAATTAGACGGAATGTGCTTACGTGACACTAAAATTCATTTGAAATTTTATTTTTTCCCCCAAACTATACCTTAAAAATTAATTTGCCCCCCAAACAATACCTTAAAAATCAATTTGCCCTCCCCTCCCCCCACGTAAGACAGAATGTGACGACATAGGGTAAATTGATCAAAATTTTGAAATTTTGGGTGTAAAATTGATATTTATCGAAGTCTGGGGTCAAATTAAAAAATGTGTGAAAGTTTGGAGGGCAAAATGATATTTTCTCGTATATTAATAATAATATAAAGGGTGGGGTGTATAGTTGGTGGTCGGATCAAAAAACACTTGTTTCTCTCCAAGAAAGATAGAGATGTGGACACAACAAAAACAACGACTATTTTCTTGACCCAAGGGCCAACCCACCCACTTTAATCCTTCAAAATTTCCAACTTTGTTTTCTTTTCTTTTATTTTTTTCTTAAAAAATGTAATCTTTGTTATTTTGTTATATTTGTTTGCAGCTTATATGTTTCACATATACTTATTGGTTATCCTTTAGGATATATCTTAGAAGGTAGAAATGCTATGAGTTTGTATTTTGCCCTAATTTTGATGACAACACTCAGTATTAAAGTAGTCAAATTCATTACATCTCAAGCCGTTCAAACCACTTATTCATTATTCTTCAATTTGAGATCAAATTATAGTTTGTTTAGTACATTATGACATTTTGAATATTGTAATTTTCAAAATTAGAGGTGGCCTTTGTGTTCGGTATATCGTAGTTTTGAGATCAAGCATTTTATTACTAACATTTCAATATTGAAATTTTTTTTTTCATATGTTTGGCGGATTGGAAATGGATGGAACGTAATTCGGGGAGCGTCAAAGGATTACATTTTGAATTTTTGGATATATTTTGTCATAGGATTTTGTAGCATGAAAGTTTTTTTGGAATCATTATGTACATGTTTGAAGTTTCGGATTGTAAGGGGCTTACTTATGTTGAATGTTTTGGATATGTTTAATATGCTACCACTTTTGAATTAAGTTTATTGTTTGGATGCTTTGAACAATGTATTAATTTTTTTTTTTATTGCATGTGTAGAAATGATGAACAGAAAAAGTAAGTTTGGGTTTGGATTTGGATTTGGATTTGGATTTGGATTATTTCTTATAGGTTTATGAACTGAGCAGGGACATTGTCAAAAAAATAAATAAATAATGAATTTTTAATGATAGGTTTTTTAATTGTTAATTTATTTTTGGTGACAATTTGTTTTGGTTGCTAAAAGTGTATGTGAAATAGGATATGAATTTTTAAAAACCAAAAACTTGATTGGCTGCCAAAAGATTTGGCATTCAACAACTAATTTGTTTCGTCGCTAAAGGATGTTTTGGCGACGCATTCATACGTCTCTAAAATCTAACATGGCATCTTGATTAAGGTTTCTTTTAGTGACTAAATGTTAATTTACAGCGACAAATTTTTTGGTATTTGGCGACTAAACTATTTGGTCACTAATTCTTTTATATAGCGACCATAGTTTATTTAGTCGCTAAATCATTTAGAGACATGGCTTTGGCGACCTTTTTTTTTGAGTCGCTGATACTTTTAGCGATGAAAAATACACTTGTAGTGACAAATAAAAACATCACCAAAAGTGTAAATTGTTGTAGGTTTGAACTGTTACGTTGTTATATTTAAAAAAACTATATTAAGGAGTTTTTTAGTGTGTTACATTGCAGTGTTACGCTCTTGTTCGTAATGTGAGATTTGTTCCAGAATGAGGGAAAATCCAAAACCTTTATAGTGCGGATTGTCTAAATATGTAATTTCACATTTGGAGAAACCCATTTTTTATTTCTCAAAGATTAAACCCAAACGTATAAATGGCTACATTTTTTATATAATTTTCACTTTAATGGGACTTTTAAATTCATAAGAAAAAAAAAACGAGAACTAAATAATTTATAAAATCACATTTTGAGAATTGTTAGTGTTTTACCGTTGTTTCAAAAGTAAAAATTTGAGGGAGATGACCGTATTGCTTCCAATAAAAATGAAAAAAAAATGTTATTAATTTTTTATTTGTCATAATTTAAAGATAAATTATAAGTACATCTTCTAATATTTATTTAAAATACGAATAACCCGTTTGGTTCTAAAAATTACATCATGCCGCTTAAAATTTTTAATTTTATAACAAATAGTATCATTTATTAATAAATTATCAAGTCAATTAACAATTAATAATATTAATTAGAAATCTATTTCAATAAATAATTCAAGTAATTTTATTATTGTAGGAAAGTAGTTAGAAATTTTATTTTTTTAATTAATTCTATTAAATTCAAAATTTTAACAAGGTAATATTTATAATTTTTCAAATTATATAAAACAATTTCTATTTTAAACAAACCCTCCATTTCAATTGATATTTTTTCACAAAAAAACAGATATGAGATAACAAATTCAATATGTATGTCATGTCATTTAGGTAAGTGTGAATTTATAACATTTCACATTAAAAATAAAAATAAAAGTTATCTTTTTGGTACGTGTGTAGGCCATGCTAAAGAAATAAATAAATAAATAACAAGAAGTTTAGGAAATCGGACTTGCAATTTCAGACTTAAGTTAAGAATAGAGTGTGAGGTAATAGTGATTGAAAGTGGCTATTGTAAAATCGGATGCATAATGAATTTGAACCACATATTATTATTTTAGATAATTTTTGAATGAAAATTTTAATTTATAGTATTAATAAATAAATAAAAATTTGATGGATTAGAACATCTCCAACGTTGAATAATTTTTTTTATCAAATTTAAATAAAAATTTGATAAAAAGTTTGATTTGATACCGTTTATTCTAACGTTGAATTAAAATTTTCATTAAATTTTTTCACATCTCTGGTTATTTGAGAAGACGCATGAGCAGATGCCTTGGAAATTGTTTGGACATGAATAAAAAATTTGATCAAATTTGCTTTTGAATGGATATCTGAAGAATGTTCGGTCCAACAATAATAATTTAAATTTGGTTTCTCTTTCTTTTGATGAAATTTTTATTTTTACTTTTTTTTATTATTTGATATAGAGTCAATACCAACGTCAGAGGGAAAAAAAAAAATAAGATTGTCTTGATATAGAGTAGAAAACTCATTTTTACCATTATTATAGATTAATACTTTGGGAAAGACCGCGGCTCAGTCACCTTAGTGGATGGTTCCCACTCCTTGATTGCCTTTACCTTGCCTTCTTCCATGCTAAGTTTGCCTCCCTTGATTACATGACCTAGGAAGGAAACTTTGTCCTTTGCAAATGAGCATTTTTCTCTTGACATACAACTCATTTTCCCTTAGTGTCTGGAAGACGGTCCGTAGGTGTTCAACATGTTCCTCAAGAGTGGTGCTGTAGATGACTATGTCATCTAAATATACCGCTATGAACTGGTCTAGGTAGGGGTGGAAGATCTTGTTCATCAATGTGCAAAAGGTGGCGGGTGCGTTGGTGAGGACAAAGGGCATTACTAAGAATTCATAAGAGCCATAGCGAGTTACACAAGCAGTCTTTGGCTCATCACACCTTCCGCAATCCGCACTTGATAGTACCCTGACCTTAGATCAAGCTTAGAAAAGAACTTTGCATGCCAATTTTCTGATTGGCCTTGTTGCTTGTAGGCTGTTACTTCAACTATCCCTGAGTTCCAGTTTTGAAATAATTAGTTCTATAAGATTGTCTTGATATAGAGTCGAAAACTCATTTTTACCATTATTATAGATTAATACTTTGGGAAAGACCGCAGCTCAGTCACCTTAGTGGATGGTTCCCACTCCTTGATTGCCTTTACCTTGCCTTCTTCCATGCTAAGTTTGCCTCCCTTGATTACATGACCTAGGAAGGAAACTTTGTCCTTTGCAAATGAGCATTTTTCTCTTGACATACAACTCATTTTCCCTTAGTGTCTGGAAGACGGTCCGTAGGTGTTCAACATGTTCCTCAAGAGTGGTGCTGTAGATGACTATGTCATCTAAATATACCGCTATGAACTGGTCTAGGTAGGGGTGGAAGATCTTGTTCATCAATGTGCAAAAGGTGGCGGGTGCGTTGGTGAGGACAAAGGGCATTACTAAGAATTCATAAGAGCCATAGCGAGTTACACAAGCAGTCTTTGGCTCATCACACCTTCCGCAATCCGCACTTGATAGTACCCTGACCTTAGATCAAGCTTAGAAAAGAACTTTGCATGCCAATTTTCTGATTGGCCTTGTTGCTTGTAGGCTGTTACTTCAACTAAACCCTGAATTCCAGTTTTGAAATAATTGGTTCTATAAGATTGTCTTGATATAGAGTAGAAAACTCATTTTTACCATTATTATAGATTAATACTTTGGGAAAGACCGCAGCTCAGTCACCTTAGTGGATGGTTCCCACTCCTTGATTGCCTTTACCTTGCCTTCTTCCATGCTAAGTTTGCCTCCCTTGATTACATGACCTAGGAAGGAAACTTTGTCCTTTGCAAATGAGCATTTTTCTCTTGACATACAACTCATTTTCCCTTAGTGTCTGGAAGACGGTCCGTAGGTGTTCAACATGTTCCTCAAGAGTGGTGCTGTAGATGACTATGTCATCTAAATATACCGCTATGAACTGGTCTAGGTAGGGGTGGAAGATCTTGTTCATCAATGTGCAAAAGGTGGCGGGTGCGTTGGTGAGGACAAAGGGCATTACTAAGAATTCATAAGAGCCATAGCGAGTTACACAAGCAGTCTTTGGCTCATCACACCTTCCGCAATCCGCACTTGATAGTACCCTGACCTTAGATCAAGCTTAGAAAAGAACTTTGCATGCCAATTTTCTGATTGGCCTTGTTGCTTGTAGGCTGTTACTTCAACTATCCCTGAGTTCCAGTTTTGAAATAATTAGTTCTATAAGATTGTCTTGATATAGAGTCGAAAACTCATTTTTACCATTATTATAGACTAATACTTTGGGAACCAGCTTCTCTGTCGTTGTCTTTTAAACTGGATGACCCAGTTCATGTGATTAGATTGTGCGACCTCAATGTTTTGTCCAATCTATGGTTCAGATTGCATCACAAGTGCTATCACTTAAACATTCTTGCTTTGTCTTTTCTGTCTCAATTGACCAGACATCACACTGTCCCTCCCTTCATTCTCTCTCTCTCTCACCCTTCCAAACTGTCCTGCAGCCATTGTCAATCCTGTTAGGTGATTGCAGCAAATGCAACGCCTAAATGTCATTGTCACCTCTAAAAAACTCTATGGGGGTGGGTATCAAGAGGAGGGGGAAGAAGAGAGGAGATGAGAACAATAGAGATGGGGGAAAAAATCAACATAGAAAATTAGTGGCTGACGATGGGTGAGGAGGGAGGGGGAAGAGACAGACATTAGTAGAGAATGGAGGAAAAAAAAATGACAAGGTTATTTAGATGGAATTCCTGTTCACTTTAGTGAGATAGAAGACCCAATTGACCCAGTTGAGAGAAAGAAACCCAACTGAGATAGAAAGGAAGGCTGCAGTTTTGGTTACCAGGTTGGAACTTGGGATTTGGAAGAGAGAGTAGAGATTGATGATCAGACTCTGGTATAGGAGGGAGGGTGAGAAATGGCATCAAATGTACGTCCATTTACATAACTTAAATAAAATGGCTGAGACTTCACATATGTGGCGGGATCTAAGCTATTCATGAAGCAAAATGATGAGTTGTCTCAATCTCATTTCATGGACTGGACTGTGTATTTGTTTATACACAAATACATCCTGTTGGAGGATTTATTTTCCTATATCATGACCTGCTGATTTTTTTTTCCACACGGTATGATGAATAGTTGCTTATTTTTTCCTTTTCTCTAGCAAATGGTTTGATCGCGTTGTTGAAAGTGGATAATGCATTAAGACTGTATGTATAGTATAGTGAATGGTTAACTATTTATTTATTTATTTTATTTTTATTTTTTTTCCCTTTCTTGGAGCTTGATTGGGATGCTAATTTTTATTTTTCTGTTCAATAACATAAATTTTGTTATTTTTGATATAATAAAGTAGGAAAGATGAAGAGGCATTTTGCATATGTGAAATTATATTGACTTGTTAAACTTCAGATTTTGATCTCTTTTTTTTTTTATAGGGGTGTGGAAGTTCAAAGAGAAAACCAGTTGATGCCAATCCTGTTTCAGAGACGCCAAAATTGTTCACGTCTGCATTCAAAGTTCCTAAATTAAAGAATTCATCTTGTCATGCCAATCCTGTTTCAGAGACTCCAAAATTGTTCACGTCTGCATTCAAAGTTCCTAAATTAAAGAATTCATCTTGTCATGCCAATCCTGTTTCAGAGACTCCAAAATTGTTCACGTCTGCATTCAAAGTTCCTAAATTAAAGAATTCATCTTGTCATGCCAATCCTGTTTCAGAGACTCCAAAATTGTTCACGTCTGCATTCAAAGTTCCTAAATTAAAGAATTCATCTTGTCATGCCAATCCTGTTTCAGAGACTCCAAAATTGTTCACGTCTGCATTCAAAGTTCCTAAATTAAAGAATTCATCTTGTCATGCCAATCCTGTTTCAGAGACTCCAAAATTGTTCACGTCTGCATTCAAAGTTCCTAAATTAAAGAATTCATCTTGTCATGCCAATCCTGTTTCAGAGACTCCAAAATTGTTCACGTCTGCATTCAAAGTTCCTAAATTAAAGAATTCATCTTGTCATGCCAATCCTGTTTCAGAGACTCCAAAATTGTTCACGTCTGCATTCAAAGTTCCTAAATTAAAGAATTCATCTTGTCATGCCAATCCTGTTTCAGAGACTCCAAAATTGTTCACGTCTGCATTCAAAGTTCCTAAATTAAAGAATTCATCTTGTCATGCCAATCCTGTTTCAGAGACTCCAAAATTGTTCACGTCTGCATTCAAAGTTCCTAAATTAAAGAATTCATCTTGTCATGCCAATCCTGTTTCAGAGACTCCAAAATTGTTCACGTCTGCATTCAAAGTTCCTAAATTAAAGAATTCATCTTGTCATGCCAATCCTGTTTCAGAGACTCCAAAATTGTTCACGTCTGCATTCAAAGTTCCTAAATTAAAGAATTCATCTTGTCATGCCAATCCTGTTTCAGAGACTCCAAAATTGTTCACGTCTGCATTCAAAGTTCCTAAATTAAAGAATTCATCTTGTCATGCCAATCCTGTTTCAGAGACTCCAAAATTGTTCACGTCTGCATTCAAAGTTCCTAAATTAAAGAATTCATCTTGTCATGTAATTTGACCTCTGTGACAACTTTTTCCTGCCTTCTATTTAAATAGGAAGCTATAGATATATGTATATGTTTGTTAGGTTTGACTTGGTTCTGATACAGATGAGTTTGAAATGGATCACTTGGCTTTGTTTTGGTGGGCATAATTGTTCAGTGTATCCTTCTTCATTTTAGTGTAATTTGTGTAATTGATTAGGCTTTTTTGTAATAAAATGTAATTTGTGTAATTGATTCAGCTTTGAATCTGTGAACTTCTTCACTGCTGATCCACTTGGCTATTGAAAAACTTGTCTCTTGGATCTCTGAACTTCTTTACTGCTCTCAACCCATTTGGGTATTGAAATGCTTGTCTGGCTGAATAGTAGAAATGGGTATGCCCGTACTAAAGGTCTTTTAAGATCGATAAAAACTTGGGCGGTCAAGCATGAAAATGTAATTTCAAGATAAAAAAAAATGTTAGAGATTTCAAAAAATTTATTAAAATTTTTACTAAATGTCTCACATGTGTAGGATTCAAGTGAGATTCTTATGGTGTGGATCTCACACCCATGTAAGACATTTAGTAAGAATTTTGGTAGAACTTTTGAGATCTCTAGCATTACTCTTTCAAGATTGAGTATATATAGCTACTTTATACAAATAATTCCGATGTTGTTGTGTCAAAACTAGATGAACAATGATCTTCTAACTTCCATATCGCTTGACAAGAAGAACTTCAATGGCTTTCCATCTTCCTTTTGTTTGAATGGTCAGCCTGTTGAAATTATTAAGGCATTCTAAACAAACTTCTCAATAGTTGTTAAATGTTACGTAAGCCTTACAAGAAAAATCACCATATATTCCTTCTTATGACGTCAGTGGGATCCAAAATTTGAAAAAAAAAAAAAAATGGCATGTGAATTTGATAACGTTAAAATAAAATAATAAAATATGAGGATAAATTATAAATACATCTTGAAATTTGCTTTAAAATATAAATTATCTCTTGTAATTTTGAAAATTACAAACATTCATTTATCAAAATTTTTTATTTAACAAAATTAATCGAAAAAATAAAATTTCTAACTAATCTCTTATATGATAACAAAATGGGAGATTTTTTTTAAGGTCCCTGATATTAAGAATTTATAGTATAAAGGACACTCAATATTTTCATAATGTCTAAGGTCCTTCAACATCAATTCAGAGAAAATTCGATCCAGAGAAAATTCGGTCCAGAGAATTTCTCTGGACTTTCCAGAGAAATTCTCTCCAGACATCCAGAGAAAATTCAGATAGTCCAGAGAAAATTTAGACATCCAGAGAAAATTCAGATAGTTCAGAGAAAATTCACACAATCCAGGAAACTCTGCATCATTGTGCATTTTATATGTTCTCTTACAAATATCTTTTCATGAAGGGTTACTATCAAAATTCTGTTTGCTAATCCTAGTGCTCTTTGTAGATCAAGTTCAACAAGATGAGGTGGTTGACAGTAAGATTTTGCCATACCTTAGCATAGATAAGAAAGAGAAGAAGTCATTCCCTAGACTTCCAGAGAAAATTCAACTTCAAAGAGAAAATTGGTCCAGAGAAATTCTGGGAAGAATTTCTCTGGACTTTCCAATTTCTCTAACATTCCCTAGAATTCCCACTGTAAATTTCTCTGGCCTTCCATTCTCTCCAGAGAAATTTCCCTTCTCTCTAGAGAAATTGTAATGTTCTTCATCTTGTTTGAATATGCTATATTGTTGATATTGATTCAGAATTTCTACAATTTGTTTGGGAAATTCCTATCATTTTCTTTGAATGAATTCAATAAATTTTTGTTGTACTTATCTACAAATTTTTCAGGGTACATCTATCCTTACCTAATTCTAATGGAGAGTGGGAAATATACAAAAGGCCAGAGAAAAAAATTTCTCTGGAGAGAAAGGAAGACCAGAGAAATTTGCAATGGAAAGTCTAGGGAAGGTAAGTCCCTGCACCAATTTTCTCTGTGAAGTCGAATTTAGCAAAATCAACAATTATTACCAACTCTACAACCTGAATTCTGTAGAATCAAATATCAAATTTCACAGAGAATTCTCTGTGAACTTCATAGAGAATTCTGGTTCACAGAGAATTTCTCTGGTGACTTCACAGAGAAATTTCCAAATTTCTCTGACTAAATCACATACTCATCTCTGTGATTTTCTCTGGCCATCTAGAGAAAATTTCTCTGGCCTTCCCTTCTCTCCAGAGAAATTTCTCTTCTCCAAACCCAAAGAAATTCACTTAAACCAAATAAATTTCCCAAACCCAGAGAAATTCGCAAAGAGATGGAAAAGTCAGTGTATACGCAAAGTGCTTTCAATTTTCAGAGCTTTCAGGGTTTTTAAAGTAAGAACTCCTCAGATTCACACTCTCAATTTGTACCTTTCTTGTTTATAGGAAATGAGTTTGCTAAAAATGAGGCCAAGGGGCTAAAAATGAGGCCAAGAGACTCTGTCTTGTTCTCGGTTTGTCTCTAAAATGTTTTTCAATCTCGTTTATAGTGGTGGAGGAGTGAGAGATTCGTAGATTCGAAGAATGAGGTTCGGTGGATGATGGACTTATGGGACGCCATACTGGAGTTGGACAGAGTCGATACATGTGGGGGAGAATATGTCTGATAACAATAGAAGATTTCTTCGATGATCTGATCCGAGAGGCTGCCAAGAAGACAGAAGGCTTCTCAGGTTGAGAGATAGCGAAACTAATGGCCAGTGTTCAAGCAATCGTGTATGGACGCCTGGCAGCGGCAGTAGGTTCATTGATGATACGCATCACATTGAGTCCAGCAATAACACCATCATCCTTTGTTGCCTGACGTTGAGAATCATTGAAGTAAGCAGCCTCCATGTCTGTTCAACAGCTCTGCAATGCAACTATGGCGCTCTCCCTCTCTCTAGATTCTCTCTCTAAAATGAGGTTCGGTGGATGATGGACTTCTGGGACGCCATACTGGAGTTGGGCAAAGTCAATACATGTGGGGGTGAATATGTCTGATAACAATCGAAGATTTCTTCGATAATCTGATCCGAGAGGCTGCCAAGAAGGAGCGGTAGTGGGTTCATTGATGATACGCATTACATTGAGTCCAGCAATTACACCATCATCGTTTGCTGCCTCACGTTGAGAATCATTGAAGTAGGCAGCCTCCATGTCTGTTCAACAGATCTGCAATGCAACTATGGCGCTCTCTCTCTCTAGATTCTCTCTCTAGAATGGAGAGACAAATCATCGAATTGGTTTATGGAGGTTTGAAGGGTGAGGGATATGAAATTTCTCTGTAGGGACCTTAGACATCATAATATAATTTTGTGGACCTCTTCCATTATGAAAAGTGGGAGAGGGACCCTAGACCGATTTTCCCTAACAAAATTACTTGAATCTTTAATTAAAATATATTTCTAATATCATTAAATATTGTTAATTGATTTTATAATTTATTAATAAAGCGACTTATTTGTTATATGATTAGAAACGAAAAGAGATAAGATGTAATTTTCAGAATTATATAAGTAATTCGTATTTTAAATAAATTTTAAAAAATATATTTATAATTTATCCATATTTATTTCATTATTTTTTTCTAGGACAAATTATATGGACTTCCTTTGAATGTTACCAAAAATACAACTGACACTAGCGTGGAGAAATAACAAGAACCATTTATGTGCACTGGCAGTACTGATGGTCGTGACAGAGGCACTAATTCATTATTTAAGGTTTCATGAAAATTAAAATTATAGAATCACTTCGAAGCAAACCATTTAAATACGGTTTGGTTGGATTTGAAGCAACAATTTTACATAATCTCTTCATAAGAAAATCATATAATATTTTCAAAATATTCAACCTATCATACATTTTAAAAATAATAATGTCTATATTGGCTACATATTTTGTATAAGTCAATTACAATTTGACGCGTGGCAGAATAAGGATAATACAGGAAGACTATTCAAGTCTTCGATCATGATCGTACACGTGGCAGTTAGTATTAGTTATTACGAGATCTGAGTAGCATTGGATTAGCAAAGAGATGCAAAGTGATGTGGCTTCAACGGTTACTCACATTCAAATTCAAAATTAGGAAGGAAGCCTAACTGCAAGTGATGGCATAGTGGAACTAATTATAAGGCAACATGATCAGCGATCATGGAGGAGCAGCTCGACGGTTGGAAATGTAGTTCGATGGTCATCCTTGAGAAGTATAAATAGCAGAGAAGACCCCAGAAAAAAGCCCCAGACTCAGATCCAAAAAACCAGTCTTATTCTACTTTATTTCATTTCTAGTTTTACATTTCATGTTCTTTACATTTTTGTGCTTCAAAATTCATGCACTGCACTTCGTTCATAGGAGTAGTTTTAAGTAGATTGTTGCTGTAAACCTCTACAAGGCTGAGTTTGGATCATTGTAAGTTTTTCATTTTAATGAAATGTTTCAATTATTCTTCATTTAATTGTTATTTGCTTAATTCTCCTAAATCAAGCCACTAGTAAAAGTTCTCTTTATTGAGGCTGAAAGAACTAAAACACAATTGTCTGATAATTGGTTGGCAATTAATTTTCTATAAGGACTGATTGATCCTTACTAGCACGCTCATAATTACAAAAGTAACTTTCGAAAGTCAAAAAAGCAAACATATATTTTTGGCACGCCCAGTGGGACTAATTGAAATGGCTAGACGTAGGAGACAATGAGAAAATGAACGCTTGGAAGAAGGCGTAGAATGAGAGGTAGAAATATCTAATCCAGAGGATAATGTAATAACACATCATGTGGAGACACCAATTCCATCAGAACCTATGGTCGAACAGACCAGCACTTCGGAACAAGTACCACATGTTCATAATATTGAACAAGACCAAGGAATTGGACCATCCACTGTTCCATCTACTCAACCAATAAATCCATAGGGTGGCCTAGTAGATGCCATGGGACAACAGTTAATGAACACGATGGAAGGATGGGCAACATCCTTTTTGCATCGAATGAATAACCACCAACTAACAAACGCAAGACACATGGAGAAAGTTTCAAATGTCCCTCAGCAAAGATTGGCTAGAGATAAACAGCCTATGCAAATTAATAGACATTCTAATGGTCAAACTAGTAATCAAAACTATGGAAGACCATCACCTCAGTCTTGGTACGAACCTATTTCAAGGCCTATAGCAGGTCAAAATGCCTCAGTACTTAACAGTGAAGCCATGCAAATTGATGGATCTGACCCAGTACAAGAAAATGGCATAAGAATGGCTCCAAATCCCATGTTTGAAGCCATTTCCGGCACGAGG